AGTAAGTTGATCCTTTTGTAAAACCCAACGAATGGTTCATAAAACACCAGTTACATTTTATGGTCTGAATATATTTGGACTGAAATGCAGTTAACAAATACTAGGAAGTGACTTGTTTTTGGGGGGTGGGGTGGGGAGGAAGAGAGATTGGGGACAGAAGGAGGAGGAGGTTCTGCCTCAAGCTGTTTCCTTTTGTTGGTGTGATCCTCTTGACATCTGGCCTGGTGACGTTTTCCTCTGTGGACTGCTGGATTCTGAGGGAACTGACTGATCCATGAAGCTAAGGGCAATGCTTCCTGTTACGGCTTGGTCTATGAAAAAAGACTTTGGGGAAAAGCAAACTTATTTTGACTTGAACTTTATTTGATTAACCATTTGCGCCAACTGCGTTGAAATTAATCACCAGCCAACTTCCAAAATCAACTACTTGCATCTTTTTTTTTAGAACCAGCTTCCTTAGGTGCTGTTGAGCACGTTAGTCACACCTGCACAGTGTGAACTCTCTCCAATTGTCACACCAGTGTTTGTGAACGGTGGCCAAGTGTCGTTCCACAAGAAAATCTTTACTTCCTTCAAAGACTTTTTAAGATCACTTTTCATCTGTGATGTCAACCCCAGTCTCCATGACTAGGTGAACTGAACCGGCATGTCTCTGAGAATGTCTTGGTACAGTACCATTTGACCCCTCGTGGTGAATACTCATTGGGAAGAACATCCGCCCTACTGTTTGCATGTCACAGCTCTGACGTGACAGTTAAGTGGGAGCGCTGTTGGACACAGCTGTTTTATTCACCGTTCACGTCGAGCTCCTTATCAGTACTTGAAATATCTTCAGCAGCTGCAGTATTTCCTGAAAACTTTCCCCTCTCCCTTGGAAAGCATTTTTTTTTTCTTCCTTCTTCCCCCATAATTTCATGTTATGTAAAAGTCTCAACGAGTCCTATGGCTTCTGCGATGACTGGAAGAGAATAATTGTTTCTTTCACTTTTATGGCTGGGTAATATAACAAGCAGACAGAAAAGTGCAAACAACACAAATACTCAGCATCACAAAGAATTCCAAAATGAAAACCTGTGTGGTGCCACGAGGTCACACAGCGGGAACGTGCTGGCACCCAGAAGGCCTCCCTCATCCCTTTCCAGTCACCACTCACCGGGGTCCCAGAGGCAGCGGCTCATCTGACCTTTGTGAGAATGCCCTGGCTTTTGTATAGAGTCCTGCTGCTTTTGGATGTGGGGGGTGTGCATCCCCAAGCAGTGGAATTTAGCTCTGCCTGTTTTTGAATTTTATGTGTATAAATGAATTACACCAGGGTAGTCTTTTATTATGTCTTGTCTCTTTTATTCAGCATCTGTTTGTTTCATTCATGTTTTTTTGGGGTAGCTACAGAACATCCTCATTCCTGCTTAGGATTGTGTTGAATTTATATTCAGGATGCACAACGGTGCATCCGTTGATCTCCCTGTTGATGGAATGGAGTTGTTCTCAGGTCTTGGCTACTGTGAGCAATGCTGCTGTGACCGTTTTTGTGACCAGGAGTGGGTTTGCTGGATCCTAGGAGCCCAAATCTTCAAGTCTGTTAAATACTGCCAATTTCATTTCCCAACCACTTGTCCCAGTTTAGACTTTTACCAGCAAAGACACGATCCCTGGGTTTGCACAGCCCTGTATGGTGGTGTATGTGGGGGAGTGAATTTGCTCAAGATAATTGCACTTAAAAAGAGGCTGTCCTGCCCAAACTGGTTTGGCTCAGTGGATAGAACGTCGGTCTGAGGACTGAAAGGTCCTGGGTTCCGGTCAAGAGCATGTGCCTTGGTTGTGGGCACATCCCCAGTAGGGGGTGTGCAAGAGGCAGTTGATCGATGTTTCTCTCTCATCGATGTTTCTGACTCTTTATCCCTCTCTCTCTTCCTCTCTGTAAAAAACCAATAATATATATATATAATTTAAATATATATATATATGTGTGTGTTTTTATTTTTATTTATTTTTATTTTTTTAAAGAGGCTGTTCTGGCAACACTCTTCATGGGCCCCTTGGGGTATTGTTAAAGAGAGATGTTTTACAACTGAATTTTAGGGATGCTCAAAAAAAGTACAGACAAGAAAGGGCCTAGGGGAGCTGCCCCAGTTTCCTTACCCAGGGATATGTGCTCACCAGAACTCCAGATTTTTGTCAAGTTGGGTGGTGGTTTCTCCCTAAGGCTCTATTTGCATTTCTTTTTTTTTTTTTTTTTAATATATTTTATTGATTTTGTACAGAGAGGAAGGGAGAGAGATAGCGAGTTAGAAACATCGATGAGAGAGAGTCATCAATCAGCTGCCTCTTGCACACCCCCTACTGGAGATGTGCCCACAACCAAGGTACATGCCCTTGACCAGAATCGAACCTGGGACCCTTCAGTCCCCAAGCCGATGCTCTATCCATTGAGCCAAACCGGTCTTGGCTCTATTTGCATTTCTGTGATTACTACTGAGATCTTCCTTTCACGAGTTTATTAGTCATTTGGATTTTTTTTTTTCTTTTCCTTTTAGAAATGCCCAGTTAAGCCTTCGCCTATTTTTTCCATTTTCCTTTCGGACCTGTAGGAAGACTAGCCCTTTGTCAATTACATGTGTCAAAGAGAGTGTTTTTTCTTGCTATGCTTTGCCAGAGGTACATTCATGTAACTGAGGACCTATTTATAACTTTTAAATGAATTTATAATGGAATCCTCTTGATCTATATAGAATATTAAAGGACTTTTGTTGGTGGAATTTACATTAAATGTGATCTTAAGAGACCCAGGAAAAGTCACACTGTCATTGGAAAGGGGAACGGCCCAGAGTGTGTCTGCCTCAGGCCCGCCAGTAGCGTATGGGTCATTGACTTGGTGCAGGAAAGATTTCCCAACGTGAGTCTAGGTGATTAGATAGTTTATAAAAGTTGGGAACGGTGAAACAAGGCAGAGCTTAGGATAGAAGAACAGGAGAAGGCCTAGGCAGGGCTATGGCTCTCTAAAAATGTTATAGTTAAGAAATGAGCCTGGGCAGGGCTCACTGAGAAGTCAGAGAAAGGGGGGCCTTGGAGACAGATTCAGGGAGTTAGCCTGGGACTAGCCACTACTGCCCTTTGCTCTGCTGGTTGCAAGTCTCCTGTGAGACCATTAGAGTTTAGGAGATGCTTGCCTGCTGGAGAAGAAGAGGGAGAAGGGAAATGCGTGGGCATATTCCTGGGAGGGAGACCTGACACTGGGATTTTTTTTTTTTTTTAAAGGCTGGAAGTTTAGGGGAAGTCTTAGCGGAGCTCTCAATAGAATATTCATCAGCTTTTCCAGGTGCGCCCTTTCAGGGTCTGGTCTCCACAGATTGGTCAGAGTCAGGGCAGGGGGTCATTAATCATTCCTGATGTCACCCACCTGGTTTTGCTGCTTTTCTGAAATACAACTGAGGCCTAGATGTTATCTCTAAAGACAGTGACCTTCTATATCTGACTGTAAATTGCTAGGCCAGTTTGTTCAGATATTTGTCTCAGTTTCCCCATTCCATTTGCCAAGGAATTTTCCTAGCTTCTTACAATTGGGAAATCCATTTGTATTTTCATGATTCTATTATTCTGTGTAGGTTGTGGCTTTTGAAAAGGACATAAGACAATATTTTGTCAGCTTCCTATTATAGCCTTTTCTATATGTTCTTATTTTATTTTATATACTGCATTCTTCATTTTTCTGTAGGGCATTACAAGCTACTAGGTACAAATCAAAGTGGAATATAAAAGGAAATTTTAACATAGAAATCTGTGTTCAAGGCCAGAAGAAAAATTATTAATTAGGGTTGACAGCTGTAAAATAATACTTTCTCTTACCCATTTGAAGATGTGGAAATAGAAACATAGTATCTTTTAAAAAATAATTTATTTTGTAAAAAAGAAAAAAATAATAATGCACATGGCCAGGGCTTAATCACAAGGAACAACAACAGCCTGTAATTATTGGAATCGAGAGTCTAGGTCAGTGGTCAACAAACTCATTAGTCAACAGAGCGGCAAACTGCAGCTCGTGGCTCATGGATAGAGCATTGGCCCTTGGTCTGAAGGGTCTCAGGTTCAATTCTGGTAGAGGACATTCAGGCTCAAACCACGGGGCACGTTCAGGAGTCAGCTAATCAATGTGTGTCTCTCATATTGATGTTTATCGCCCTGTCTCTCTCCCTTCCACTTTCTCTAAAAAAACAATGAAAAAAATATCCTTGGGTGAGGATTAGTAACAACAACAAAAAGTACATGAGAAAGTGTGGGGAATGCTGAGGTTAGCCAAGTCGAACAAGGTTTCTTCACTGAAGGACGCTGCATCTCCTGGGTGGGGCGGGGTGTGGCAGACAGTGGTTCCCAGACCTTCAGCCCAGAGCCCTTTGTTCATGGAGAGTCACCCAAGTCCAGTTCTCTTTGAAAACTTCGGGGAAAGCTTATTTGACTCTAGTATATCGTACATTAAAATTAGTATATATAAATAATATTTTTAACTGCAAAGCTTGTTTTCTGATTATAAAAATAAGATATATTCACCATAGAATACTTGTTAAGTAAAGGTAGGGTGAACAAAATTAAAATCACTCATAACTGCTATCACCATTGGAGATAGCCAGTATTTGGTATAGTTAGGTGTATTTTCTTCTAGACTGGTGTGTGTGTGTGTGTGTGTGTGTGTGTGTGTTTAAATCTTGGATAAAGAACATTTTATTAATTAGAGGGAAATCTTAGTCCCCAGGATGGAGTACATATAGAAGTGTTTCTCTTTCTAACTATTGCTTTATAAAAACCTTTTGACTGTGGAATAACTTCAGGTAATTTTGTAAAGATGGTACAGACTAATTCCCATGTCCCCTTCACCCAGCTGCCCCTAATGTTAACACTGTATAGAGTGTTATGTAAGTTTTTTCTATCTGTAACTAAACCTTCTTCTGATTCTGCATGAAGGCTTTGGGTTTTCGGTTTGGTAAAGCATGGCCCTTCTCCCTTCCTAGGTTACTACCACAACAGCACCAAAGTGGCTGTGAAGACGCTGAAGCCAGGCACGATGTCTGTGCAAGCTTTCCTGGAAGAAGCCAACCTCATGAAGACCCTCCAGCACGACAAGCTGGTGAGGCTCTACGCCGTGGTCACCAAGGAGGAGCCCATCTACATCATCACGGAGTACATGGCCAAGGGTGAGGCGCCCAACGCCCAGTGCTGTTCCATCACCGAACCCTCGCCAGCCGGAACAGTCTTCCCGTGTTCCCTGCATTGGTCTCCATATTTATATTGGCCCCAAGAACAGGACCCGATACCTACTAGGCTCCCAATGAATATTTATCAGATAAATAAATACATATGCTAAATAAGAGTATTTGTATTTTTATATGTTTAAAATGTGAGTTCTCAAACTCCTAAAAACAGTTTGTTTTCCTCTGTAGCATTATGTAAATGTTCAGGATGTCACTTTAAAATGTGAACATTGTCAAGACTGTACTCCCATGTAATCGTGGACTCACTGGGGGAGAGGCTTAAGAGATTGTTTTCCCCCGTGGCTCTCACTGTCAGATAAAAAAGGGTTTGAATCACTGCCCTTCTTCCTGCAACTCAGTATAGATATTAATAAGCTGCCAAACGGTTCTTTAAAATTCAGAAGAAATGAAGGAAGAAAAGTGTCCACCATGACCCTTTCTTACCTGGAGCACATGTACATTTCAAGTCAGGTCAAATGTCACAAGTTAGAGGGGACTGTGTTCGACCAACCTCAGAAAAGCGAGGATCCAGAATTAACCATCATCTCGTGAAAAATGATTATAATGTGCTATCAGAGATGAATAGATTAGAAAGATGCGTGTTATATTTTCTTAATACATATTAAGACTTCAGAATATTAGTCACTCAGAGTCCTTTCGGAAAAGGACATTCTTTTAAAAACAACAACAACGAAAGACCTGGCCCCTATGGCTTAGGTTGCTATAGCTCAGAATCCAGTCTCTGGATTATAAACTCTGTAGGAGTTCAGTAAATACGATTTGAGTTCATCAGTTTATAGTCTCATTAATCGTAAGTGTAAATATGTGTTTCTCCAGACAATAATGCTTAACCTTTATTGAGCACTGACTGGGTAGCACTGTTCTCAGTGCCTTCCCTGGGTGACCTCACTCAATCTTTTCAGAAGTCTCAAGGCTAAGCAGCCTGCTTTTGTGTTGTGGATGAGGTAGCAGAACATTTACTGAGCACTCATGACCTGCCAAGAACCATGGCACATGCTTCAATCCATCCTCCTAAGGGCTCTGATATAGCCACTAGGGTATGCCCACTTCACAGGGACCTAGATAGATAGGTAGCTTGCCCAAGACTGCCCTCAGGTTGGCACTTTTAAGTTCTAGGGGAAAAGGCATTTTGTGGGTTCCCCCCCTATCCTCCCCCCACCCCCACCCGTAGCAATGATCATTTGAATTGTATTTGTTTAGGGTTTCTTTTGTGTTTTAACTACACTAATTTTCTTCCTTCCTCTGTCAACAGGCAGTCTGCTGGATTTCCTGAAGAGCGATGAAGGGGGCAAAGTGCAGCTTCCAAAGCTAATCGACTTCTCTGCTCAGGTGAAGTATGCAGCAGCCAGTGTGTGTGTGAATTTGCAGAGACCTCCCCTGTGTCAGATTCATGATGTAATTGTTTCAGGAGAAGGCATTTCCATTGAATGGTTCCCAGCAGTGGTTATGTGTACACTTCCTTAGAGACAGTACTGGGTATTATACACAGAGTGCTTGTGTATGTGTCATTTTGACTTTGGGAGTCATCTTCTTTAACACAAATTAGCCTCTTTATACTTGTATTTATTTCTGCACAAATGATAGAAACCATGCAGCTGAATTGACCACTTTGGGCTGCATTTTGGGGAAGCAATCCCATGCCGTGTACGTGCAGCACCTTCTAAGCGATGTGGTATCTAAGTTACTAATGGGATGTACTGTCACCTATAAGTCCTAAGTGTTCTTGAAAACAGAGGGACAGTATTCTTTTTCTGTTCAGTTCTTCTTGTTGGGTGTGCCTTTAGGATTCTGGGAAATAGTTATTTATAATATTTCCAGAACTAGCCTAGAATTTGCGAATTTGTTTATGTTGAAATCACATGTTCCTGAAGTGTAATTAAGAGCAGAGGGAAGTTACCCAGAAACCCAGCAATGTCCCTGGTACACCAAGGAAGTGCACATTTGAATGATGCCAACTACTGACTTTTAATGGTTGCATTGTGTTCATTCGTCACGTTCAGGAATTCTCTTGTTTCTCAATATTGGCCACAAGTGGTTCATGTAGGGAAGGCCATGTGCCATATCACTCAAAGTGCCACAGAGATTTCTAGAAGTTCTACGAAAGGGCAGTCTCTACGATCTTCATTTCTTACTCTTATTTCTTCCGCCAGACCTTTTTTTAATTGGGAAATAGACAGGCCTTCTTGTGAGATGAGATCAAAGGAATGAATGAGTACATTTAAGTAAGATAGGAACTCTGCAATAGTGTGTGGCAGAGCGGGAGCCCACATCTGAAGACTAGAGTTTGTGTCCTGGCTCTTCCACTCAGTAGCCATGCCATTTTCAGGAAGTGCCTTCTCTGTTTGGGTTGGTTTATTCATCTATCAAATGGGAATGGGAATACTCACTTTAAGGAGATGTTGTCGAGGGTCAAATCAAATGAGCTGGGTAGACCCAGAGTCATAGAAGCATGAACAGACTATTGAACCTCGGAGGGAAGGCAGGAGAGGATGGGTGGGAAGAGATCAACCAATGAACTTGTATGCATATATGCATGACCCATAGACTCAGACAATGGTGTGGTGAGGGGTTGGGGAGATGGGAGAATTTAATGGGAGAAAAAGGAGGACCTATGTAATACTTTCAATAATATTAAAAATTTTAAAAAATCAAACAAGCTGGCCTGGACCCAGCACTTCAAAGCCTGTTGGTGGAAGCTGAGGACAACTTGGGGGTAACAGTCCCCACTTTGGGAGTGACAGTAAAGGTGTCTTCATCAGATAAAGGTGTCTTTATCTCGCTGACCAGAATTTGAGGAGTTTAGTGGGTTCTTTATCTGAGTAGAAGATTCAAATATCATCTGGAACTTCAATTTCTAATATGAAAAGAAGCAAAATGGCTATGGTAGAACTGGAGGAAGGGGAGAGTCCAGCAGTCTTGACTTTTTAATCCTCTCAAAGTCTCTAAGCTGGCCCTCAGAGGACCTATGGGACTCCAAGAGTCTCAGGGCCATGGTTTGAAAACCATTGCTCTGCAGCAACAGGAAAAATGACTTGGATGGATGCAGCTCTAGATCCTATGTAGATAGGGAGCCAGGAAATGGAGAAAGCAGAAATCTGATAAACTTGTCACACTTGACCCAGCTAAATGAGGCCTTCTATCCGGGGTAGTGACTTGGGCATCCCCTATTGGATGACAGACTTGAGGAGTATAGTAAAGGTTTATCACACTTGCTGCTCAGAAAGGGAAAGGGGCTGAGAAAGGATGTAGAAACCTAGGACATGTGACCTGAGGGCCTGAGTGGTTATAGCCATTCCACTGTGCCCTGGATCAAGGGTCTGATCTGTGCCTACAGTTCTGTAGGGTAGAAATCATGCAAATTGGGGTGTGTCCTATACCCAGAGAAGGACTTCAGTTGTCACATTGGTATTTTATGTTTGATTTTGCATAGCTTTTCTCAAAACACATCTTGATATAGTCAAAGTTTTAGGTCAAGGCCTCTGTATCTGTTCTTTAGCTTTATAAATTACTAGTGTTGTTACAAAGGGTACCTTTTTCTAACTTAGAAAATATTTTCAGGGGAAGGTTGTTTTCTAAGCCTTTGTGGCTTGCAAAGTAAATCATCACAAAGACTGGCATTGCAGGTTTGGGGCCAGGGGGAGGGCAAGGAGCAATCAAGGCCACTACCACTGGTCTCCATGTAAGTCCATGTCTGAGTCCAGCTCATGCTGGATGAACTCTTGTTTATTTGCCTCAGGGTTTCCTAGCAGAGATGACTGGGTAGAATTTCAGCACAAAACATCTAGTTTAAATGCGTGGAGTGTTAGGTGTCATTAGGAGAGTCTGCAGTCAGGAGTCTCTAAGCAGGTGTATTCAGCACGAAATGCATTTCCTTTATAAGCAAATACCATCTCCTTTTGAGTTCATTTTTGTTCCTGGTACAAAACCTCATCCAGTCTTATCTTAAGGTGGAGCTCGTGGGGCCTCTTGTTCCTCACCCTTAGTTATCATCTGTTTTATTAGCTTGTGGCTTTCCTTGTTGGGATATAGATAACATGAGGAGGGGGCCCGGACCTCCGTCTGAAAGCACATACCTTACACATCCGATTTCTGTTAACCACTGTAATACATATGGGCAATTCCCTTTGTGACAGGTACAACTCAACACCCCTCCTCCTTCTCCATGTACTTTCTGAAAGGCTCTCTCCACACAAAGAAAGTCATCTCTGAGTTGTTTCTCCTTTTCCTCTCCATCATCTGTCACTAGTTAACTTTGTCACTTCTCCATGGTGAATAACATGAAGATAATAAATATTAATAAAGCTTGCCAAAGCTGATAAGAAGACACCTAGTGCCTAGATACCGGAAAATACAGCCTTTCCTATACCTTTTCTCCACTGTACTGTTTAGAGTGGAAATAGGGTAAAGCAGAGGTATTCTATAAGTCCCTTTGGCATTTGAGCCCTAAACAATTAGTAGGCTCTATAATATGTTTATACTTTTCTTCCATTAGCATTGTCAATCTCATCAAAGAGTTGAGACATTGAGTGTCCACAAAGGATGTAGTTCAATTCAACAGTTTTTCACAATGGGAGATGGAGAGTGGAAACAAACCAGTTTACTTAATCCCAGCGCCAGGGCCAGAAGAATAAGGGGGCAAGGGTAAGGGGCAGTGCTGGGACTTTTCCCATAGTCTCCCATCTGGCCTCTTCTTCCCTGTACCCCTGCCCTACTTCCCCATGCTCTACTTTCCCCTTACCATCCCCCGTATGGCAACCGAGACAGGAAGTGGGGTCAGTGCACATGGTCGCCTTTCAGTTCATGTGAGAACTGACTTCATCACTTCCTGTCTCAGGCTGTGTTCTGAAAGCCTCTACTGAGCCCAGTGAAATCCAGACTCTCCAACTTATCAGCCCACTCACCGTCCTCTCCATTGAATGGAGATTAGGCAATCCAAACTACAGCAGCTTCACCCATTGCTTCTCATTCTTGTCTTAAATGAAGCCAGGTGGAGCTTTTTGTGCTGAAATAGGAAAGTTAAACCTCTTTGCAAAGGAATTCGGATACTTTCAGAGGGGAGAGTCTTTGTATAATTCCCTTCCAGTTTTTGCCTCATCTAAGAGAAGAAATGAACTTGGAAAGAGAAGGGGGTGAAATCTGTGGGAATTTCCTTCAGCAGAAGCTGAGACTAAATGATAGACTTATAAAACTGAGAGAAAAGAGAAATGGGAAATTCACAGTTGCAATATGGAGGCCAGATAAGACATCCTGTCATTCAGGCCAAGTGAATCAAAGCATTTCTTGCTCTTTGTTGGCAACTTCCCTGAAGTGCAAAAATTACCAAAAATGAAATGGACAAATACAAATGAGTAAAACTGCAATAAAAACTGAAACACACTGCCCTTACCGGTTTGACTCAGTGGATAGAGCATTGGCCTGTGGACACAAGGTTCCATTCCGATCAAGGGCATGTAGCTTGGTTGCAGGCACATCCCAGTAGGGTGTGTGCAGGAGGCAGCTGATCTATGCTTCTCCCTCATCGATGTTTCTAACTCTCTCCCTTTCCCTTCCTCTCTGTAAAAAATCAATAAAATATATTTTTTAAAAACAAACAAAAAACTGAAATACCAAAGTTGCTGCCGCAATCATGGAAACGGGTAACATTTCTTTAACTCCTTCTAGTTGATAAAACACTTCTACTTCCAACATCCAATTTGAGTCCACAACCTTGAAAGCATTTATATTGTTATTGATACATATTACAAAGAAGGAGGTGAGCTTGGACTTGTCCAAAGTTATAGAACTGGTCGGAGGAATTGCTGGTCTTGATCCCGGGTCTTCTGACTTTAGGTAACTGGTTCTCTCCTCTGTGCCCCACAGTCATTCCCTGATCAGAGTTGTTCCTACGATCACTTTGCATCTGACACTATGCTGACATGTGCTTTCCCCCTTTATGTATTTTGCTTATCAGAATTAATGGTATCTTCAGCTTCCCCTTCCCCTCCCCCAGAAAAGTCTCCATTGCCAAGACATATCACATAATGATGGTGCTCAAGATACATTTTGCCCCCTAGTGTTACATTTAAAGCCACATTTAAGGTGGGAATTGGTAAAAGGAGAAAGTTAGGGGAACCTCAGTCTATCTCTATGTGATTCTCAACCTTTTGGAATAAGAAGGCCTTTGACTTTGACATCAGCGTGTTTTGAGCACTCGCTCATTATGGTAGCTACTAACTGAGAAAACAATGTATAGATTAGGAATTCCTTGTACTAACTCTAGGTTTGGACCCACCTATCTACTGGTGGTAAATCAGGTCTGAAATGTCAGGGGGTGGGGGGATGTTATGAGG